CCCCCCATCCCCCCGAATATTTTCGCCTTTTCTGGTTTCTTCAGTAATTTTTCTTCCGAGCTAATCACTTGCCATAATACGAAAGAGCTGGGTCGTTGAAAAACAAAAAACACGGTTAAAAAAAATTATTCATAAAAATATCTTTATAAAGCCGGCACATGATATTTGATTCATAGGGTAAGCTTTTTATATACGAAACGAGCGATAGCGTGGCCAAGGTGTTTTAAAGGGAAATCTCATTAAGATGCCGAGATATTACAAATAGCGATATAATTTATTTTAAATATTTTTATGAGCCTTAGGCCATAATGCAAATCGTAAAAGATTAAAATAAATTACATACTTAAACATATCCTTTAAAAATGAAAATTTTATTCAAAAGATTATATAATTTATTCCTTTTTTTTCTTCTTTTTGTTCACATTTATATTTGCCTATAACAACAATGGGGTAATTACAAAGGTAATTTAAAAATGCGAAAAACGAAGGCTTTTAAAAAAATATCATTACCTATTTATTTTAAATATTTACGACTGAATTGTATTTTTAATTTTAAGGACTCTGAAAGAAACAATTAAGCTGTTTACCCCCTTCTGTATTTTGACATTGTTCCATAAAAATAACTTAATTTTATGGCATCTGAAATTGTTTCCCTGAAAACTAACCGACTAATGCCTATAATCATTTAATTTCTTAGTATGGGCAGGTAAACAGTAATTGCATAACTTAATGCCTACCCTCATTGGCGATTTCTTTTCTTTTTTCCGCTTTTCTGCTGGCTGGCACAAATTGAAAACAAGTACAGAAAGGGAGGTGCACCACAGAGTGGAGCTCGTGGTGCAACCCATCGATTTGCTACATGCTATAGGCGGCACATCTCGTGAGTGATATAAATGGCTTCATAAAATTTTGTAACCATAATTTAAGCAGCAGAACGAACCAGATGATGGCAAGAGTAAATTGTTTTATCAGTGGATTAAAATGGCGCTGCCTTCCGACCCCAAAACCTTTCCCGCGAATACCCAATAATCAGAAGAGTTTGAAGACAATGTTTTTTGGGGGGAGAAGGTGAAATGGCGGCTGCCGGCAGCAAAGTGCGGCCCATTAAGCGTTACATTATAATTAAGGGGAACCAGGCGCGTCGACTACCAGCAGCTGCCAGCGGAAATTGTAGATAAGATTGTAAGACAGCAACAAAGTATCAGTATAAGTATAAGCATAAGTGTGTACGAGTATCGTATGCGAACATAACATGATAACATCATCAATAGCCGCGGTATTCACAGCGCCTATGCAATTATTTAAATTATATGCACGGCCAACGTTTCTGTTCGTTTAAAATGAAATTAGTGTTATGTAGTTTTCTCTCCCCGGTTACACCTTAAAGTCTATAATCAGTCTTGTGGATGCAGCCAACCAGGCAAACCCGTCCATCTTCATAATTTGTTATGTTTCTCCTCCATTCAGGCCAACACCATCATGATCGCTTTGACTTTGACTTTAGCATCGGCTTTGGCGGCTCTGCTAATCATTTTTTGATACGACCGCTAATAATAGATGTTGATGCAGGCATTTTGTCTCACTCAAATGGGGGGCCTTCCATCCAACCATCTGCCACGTTATTGGTAAAAAGATAAGATTTTAATGATTTTCCCTTTTCACTGCCTGTTATAACTATAATTGATTGGCTGCACCTCAACCAAAATTAGGGACCAAGGCTGTTGTGCAAGGTGAGAGAGTGGACAAATGGGATTCAGACACGAGACAAGCTGGAAGGGTGTTTCGAGTTAAAATGTTGGGAGCTTAAGTCATACCTTTGTATTTTAAAACAAAGAAGAAACCCAAGATGAATATGGCCTTCACATAAATAAAAATCACAATTGTAGTCACTGAATGTATGAGACGTCACACTACTAAATAAAGTCATGGTGTTCTATGACTGAAAGAATATTTTGTTATTATAGTTTCATTTTAAAAAAAGTATAATCAAAATTTTAAATCATGTGTTTTTTCGGGAGATAAATATAATTTTTTACAGCAATTAATTTAACACTTTCAAAAACAATCTCAAAAAACTCCCACTAAAGATCTATTCCGGAAAATCTACAATCTTTCACAGCAATTACTTATCGCATTTTCAAAAAACTTTCTCAAAAACCTGTACCAATGTGTCTCATATATAATCAAGCGCAATCATAAGCCCAAACTACTATGTACATAATCATTTTGCCCCCGATCGGACCTCAAGCATCGCCAACCTACGTTCCATCATTAAGTCGAACAGACAATTTGTCAAGTGAAACAAGAAAATTTGCATAAAAAACTAACAAACAACTAACATTAGACACACCAAAAAAATTTGCATGTCTGACCGACTGAAGTTGGCCAACGGACCAACAACCGCAACTACCAACAACAAGAAAAGCTACCAGCAACAAATAACAATTTTCCATAAACAAACTGGCCCCTGGTCTTACAGTCATGGTCACAGAAATAAGATAAAGGCTTAAATAAAATAATTTATATATTTTTGAAATAGTTTTAAGACTTTTTATATCGAATAAGTACAGAGATATTATTTTTTTTATAGTAACCAATAACCCTTAAATAAATAAATGTATTGGGTACCTGTTAATAGTAGTTGTGTACTAATATAAAAAATTTTGTTTAATTTTTGGTAACTTGAAGTAGATATTATAAAAAAAAAATTTTTTAAATAATAAATAAAATTAAATTATTGAAAAAAAAAATTGATACTGTATTTTTTTCAAAAATGATACATTTTTTTACAATATTTAAAAGATTGTTAGGCTCTTTTTTCGTGTTCATGGTAGTGGCTAACAATGCTGGTAACACAGAAGCAGCGGACGATGTGCAATTACCAAAAGCGCGCCACAGAGCCAAGCAGATATCAAAGGAGATCGGCCAAAAGAGGCAAGTTGTTGGTGCTGTTGTTGTTGTTGTTGCTGTTGTTGTTGCTGTTTCTGCTGTGGCCAAACAACATGTGCGTTTGTGTCCGCAACGATTAAGTAAAAACAATTTACACGCCTGCCTGCCAGAAAGCGAGAGGCCAGAAGAGAAAAAGGCAGGAGCATGAAAATGAAACGTTAGAGATGAGCACAAACCCAATTATTAAACCTGTTTTGTTTTTCAATAGTATATGGATAAAATAAAAAATAATAACAAAATAATGTTGTAACAAGGTTAATTAATTTAGCTGTACATCTGAGGGTAAAATGCTCAGGAGAAATTTAAATAAATAATTAAAAAAAACTTTAAACACAAATTGAAAAAAAGGTTTTTCCAAATTAAAAAAAAAATATATTTAAAAATGTACAAAGTACCAAAATAATAATATAAAATGATTTGCTTTTAACCTAGTTAACATTAAAACCCTACTAACCATTAAATCAAATATTTTAAAACCAAGTGAACATTGATTAAGAACTAAAATCTATACTCACAGTTTTTCTGCTTCCTTTTTAGTTTTTGTGTTTTAGTTTCCGTGTCCCAGTGTCATCTCCAAGTCCTTGCCTCTAAGCCATGGCGTTAATATGCGTCGCTCTGGCTTAGCTTGTTGGCCACGTTACGAGGTTTCATCTTGTTGTTGCTCCTGCTGATGCTTCTGTTGTTGTTGTTGTCTGCATGTTAGTGCTTCCTTTTTGGCATCGGCAACATGTCAATTATATCGTATCAAATTAATAATTGTACGCGTCGCGTCGCATCGGACGTCTTCGCCCCATTCACCCAAATGAAGTTGGCTTTAAAGGGGCTGGAGTTTGTCTGGAGATGGAGAGATGGAGCCGGATCGGAGGCTGCCTCGTTGGCTGGCTGCTTGCCACTAATCGTGGCAGACAAGCATGCCGAACTGGCCACAAATGCAATATATTTAAAGTTGCCTGTCAATTTTGGATGCTGTTAAGCGTTGCTAACACGCCATGTTTGTCGAGTATGCGATATCAAATTGAATGTGTGCACAGCCACGGGCAAAGGAATATATATCAGATACGAACAAATAGTGTCTTGTCGAAGATTTCTAGAAAGCCTAGTTCGGAAAGTCTAATTTAAGGATGATTTTCGTTATTTGTTATTTGTAATCACGCTTATATGGTCAGCTCAAGGTAAGTTTTAAAACCAATGGCATTTCGCAGATTTATAACAACTTTTAGCTATCTGTTTATCCATGGTTGTTTGTACATGAGGAAAGTTTTTATTAAAGAGTGTCAAAATAAATCATACATTAAAACTGTTTGCAACTTTCTTAAGGATCTAACATTCTTTGTTTAGAAATCTTCGCTTAATTAATGTTAAACTATTATCTACAAAATTGGTTTCTAACATATTGAGTCAATAATTGTTTTAATGTGTTAATTAAATTTCTTATACTTAAACTTTGTCCGAAAAAAGCAAGTCCAGTAATCGTCCATTTAAGCCACATTATTGAATCACACCAGACGAGGCAGAAAAGTAAAACTGGTTTAGGCCTTTCAGAGAGCTGTTGTCATTTAGTTGTCTCAGAGTAAAAAAGGTAAGAAAAATCAAAGCCGAAACGGTAATTATCTTTTGACAGCACTTAAGTTGAATTTGGAAACGACAGTCGAGCTAAAGATCGGGCCAACGGAACGGCGGCGCTTTGGCCCAACTGACAACTGAGGTTAAAACCCGGCCGATTAAATTGACAGTTTGTCAGGCCCGTATTTTGTAGTTTGCGCTGTGTTAAAAAGCGTGTTCAATGTGACTTGGCATGGAGCCGAAGAAATAGCGCTATTAGTAACACACAAATCACCGTGTTTTCAAATCATGAGACGGTTGTGGAACATGAATTAGATTAACGTCTAGCGCTGATGATTCATCTAACAATTGTTACACCTCTAGGTGGTGGAAAACTTTTAAGGAAACAAACCGATCCATGAAAATAATCCTTAAAAAAAATGTATTTAATATAACATTTCGGCCTCAATAAATTATAATCACGATTTTTATACATATAGAAATTTATGTATATGTAATGGCGTTTATTTATTAAAATATAAATGGTATGGGAGTATTTTCTTCAAGTTTCAAATTCAGCCACCAGCTCCTTGAGTTGATCGCTCTTATTATAAATGTTAACATTACAATGGAAGAAATACTTAATTAACCAACTAACTTCATAGATAGCCTGTTTGGCAACGCAAAACTATGGTTTGCAACCAGAAACATACATTTTCAAATTAATTTTAAGATTTATGCACATAGAATAATGAAATAAAAATTAAAAAAAAAATATTCGAAAAATAAGTATTAAAGACGAAAAGGCCAAATAAAATGTGGATAAATAAATCCATGACGGACATATATATATTCATTTTTGTATATCCCCCATTTTGCCCCTGTTGATATTAATACTGCTTGATAAAAAAATGATTTACCTTTTTATTCACATTTAAGCCTCACTAGTGGCCAGCACGGATTTGAAGTAATCGCTATCCAGCTGCTCGATGTCCTTCGTGAACTGGGTGACCAGCTGGGTCAAGTCCTCGACGTTGATGTCCACGTTGTTGCCGGCTGTCGACAGCTGTTGAATGGCCACTTGGATCTTCTCCAGGATTGCCTTGTCCTCCTTTTTCTGCTTGTCCACATGCTCGTCCTCGAACTCATTGTACACCTCCTGCGCATTCTGGACGACATGCTCGGGAAAATTGGTCAAGCGCGCCACCTGAATGCCAAAGCTCTTCTCCATGACACCTGGTCGCACTTGGTACAGCAGGGTAAAGTTGTCCGCATCCGCCACTGCAGCCATATGACAGTTTCTAACCGTGGGCAGTGTCTCGGCCAGCTTGGTGATCTCATGGAAATGAGTGGCGAACAAAGTGAAGCACTTGGTCTCTTTGGCCAGATGTTCGGCAATGGACCAGGCGATGCCACAGCCCTCGTACGTTGAAGTGCCACGACCTAGTTCATCAATAATCACCAAGGATTTTTCAGTGGCGGTCTGGAGTAGAAAAGAGTTGGAATTAATAGGAATTTATAACTATTTTACAATTTTTAGAAGTAATTAACTAAGACTGAATGTATAAAAATAAGTAAAAGTATTGCACAACACCAATTTACATTCAAGCATAGCTTTTGAAAAGCTTATCTAAGCTTATTTCCATTTATATGCTCTTTCTTACTTACCCTTATTATTCCAGACGTTTCAATCATCTCCACCATAAATGTGCTCAAGCCCTTGATGATGTTATCACTAGCTCCAACTCTTCCGAGGATGGAGTCCACCATGCTGATTGTGGCCAAGCTGCAAGGCACAAAAGCACCGACATGGGCCATCAGCACAGCAGTGCCCACAGAGCGTATGTAGGTGCTCTTTCCGCCCATATTTGGTCCCGTGATGATAAACATGTTGCATTTCTCTGAATCAAAATGAAGTTAGGAAAGTAACTAGTTAACTAAGCCCTATTATCTTACCTTTTTTAAAGTCTACGCTGTTGGCGATGAAGCTGACGTGCTCCTGCAGCTCTAAGCAGGGATGACGCACATCCTGGAGAACCAATTCGCGGGCGCCCTCCTCCAGCATTTTGGGTCGCACATAGGGCGTGGGAGCACTGCGGGCGGCGATGGCAAAGCTGACCAAACAGTCCAGCTGGGCAAGCTCATTGTTCAGTGACGTAAGTGGGGCTGCATAGCCCACAGCCACCTGAATGATCTCCTCCACAATGGACAGTTGTTGCTCCTCGTAGCGAGTTCTACAGCTGCCAAACTCTTCGGCGTAGCCCTCCAACTTATCGGATGTGAAGCGAACGCCGCCCTTGATTACGTCCACAATGCGATAGTTTTTGTTTTTGCGCAGCACAGAATCATCCTTCAAGGTGATACGGAAATGGTGGCCAAGTTTGGCCACATTTTCCAGCTTTACCATATTCTTCCCATCCAAATCCAACTCCTGGCTGCACTTGGTCTGCAGCCGTTCCATTTTCGAATAAAGCTCGGTCATGGTCTGCTGCAGCTCCATCAGTCGACTGTCGAACGAGGCCTTCACCAGATACTCGCCTCTTTCGATGGCCTCAAAGTCAACCACCTGCTCGACCATTTGCTTCAGTCCGGTCAGATCCTCCAGGAAACTTTTAAAAGGCGCACAGATCACATTCTCTATCGTGGAGTTCTCAAGCTCGAGCAGAAGCTTCAAAATCTTTGGCGTCCGTAAAATAACCTGGTAGATCCGGAATAAATCCTGCAGGTTTGCCTTGCGACGCATCAGCTTCTTGGTCAACATTAGGATGTCCGGAATGCGCTTCAAATAATCCAGACTAAGTGTCTCCATTGTATCCGGCGATTCTAGCAGGCACTGAACGATATTGTGACGATCATTGAGGACATCTCGGCTTCGCAGTGGCTGCTTAACCCACTGACCCATCAGGCGGTGACCCTGCGGCGTTCGACAATGGTCCAGCACACCCAGAATGCTCTGCCAGCGGTACGAGGGCATGGAGGGATGGGTGCCCGGCTTGGGCATGATGTTCAAGGCCGCCACGGCAGCCGAGTCCAGGTGGACAAAGCTGTAAGGAAAAATGTACATTTAAAAGTTTTTCTAAAGAAGCTTCCAAACTATTTTCGTTTGCATTTTCCATAAGCTAATAAACTACTATTATTTTGGCTGCAATTTGATATCTGATTTGATTGCATAGATTAATACGTTTATTTTGAGTAAAGCATTATAAAAACTGTTTTCACTCACCGATTAAGGTCCAGTTGCTTGATCTCGTAGTGCCCCAGGTTACCGGCATCGTTGACCAGATCCAGGTACTTGATGGCCGTCTTTAGTGCATTGGAGGCCAGCTGAAGCTGGAGCTCCTTTAGGCCGGTGGCATCCTCCTGTTGTCCCTTGGCGAAACGCAGCAGGCGATTCAGATCCTGCAGCAGATCATTGGAGCTGCTCTTCTTGGGCACGGTGATCATGACGCCGTTCCGTTCGAGCAGTGTCTTCACGGCCGCATAGTCGCCCTCCGAACTGGGCAGTAGGCATTCCTTGGGACCCAGGAGCACCACGGTGGCCTCCAGTTCGGTGAAGAAGTCATCGTCGAGGAACTCGAGCAGCTGAAACTTGCAGTCGTTCTGCTCCACACTGGCCACGCCCACGCGACGCTGGCCACCGCCTTCCAGTTTGACCAGCAGCGAGATGATGCTGTTGCCGACTAGAACTTCCTTGTTGGCGAACAGGATGTCCTCGAATTGCAGCAGATTGCCGGGTGACCCACGGTACTCCAGTTGCCAGTCGCTGGAATTCTTCACATACACTTCCACCCGGAGATTCCGCACCAGGAGCAGTTCCCGGACAGCCAACTCGAAGTTTCCCTTGGACATGGACACAAACTGCAGGGTATCCTTCTTGTCCTCCGGCAGCAGGAAGCCAATGAACGCCGTGGATTTGTACACGATCTTGGCCACCAGTTCGCAGTCATCGCCGCCATGGACCGTATAGCAATCGGAGTGGTCGAAAAAGCGCACTGTAGTCCCGGGTTTCTGCAAGGTAACGCCGTAGAATGCAGTTTAACCGGATTTTTATAGCCTGCAACTTACCTCGCCAAGTTTTGCCAGGTATTTTATGAAATTGCGACGCGCATTTGTGTCTAGGAAATGCAATTAAATATAGATATCTTTATGTTTGCTTATATTTGTTATTAACTCACCCATATGCAGCGTTGGTTCCTGCCGACTGTCGGTTGCTTTGGCCTGCATAATTCTGATTTAAAATTGTTTATAAAAATCACACAAATTGGCGCCTGTTTTTAGCATAAACGAAGTGTGACCGTTGATTGAGCAATGAGAAATACTGTTTGTCTAGAAAAAAATACTGAGTGGTAAAAAATACCGTAAATAATCCGTAAGGTAAATACTACACTCAAAAAATTTGTTGTGGTGTAAAAATGTGGTTTTTATATTAACAAATTTCTTAAATATATTAGTTCAAACCATTTATTTTTCTTTCAATTTAATTATTAATATAAGATATCTTATAGTTAAAGCTAAAAGCCAACTAAAATTAAAAACAATTAAAGAGCAATGTTTTGTCATGAATAGCAAACTTGAGGAAATAAATTGCAATATTAACTATATTTTGAAAAAACCTGTTTCTTTTGCAGCTGTCTTTTGCTCATTAAGTCGCGTTTTAAACTTATTTTTAAACCTAATTTGACAGCTGACCTTGTGTTGGCCATGCAAATAATATTTTGTTTCTACATTTTATTAAAAAAATTCATGAAAAAATACTGGCTATTTAAACATAATACACTTTCGCCCTAAACAGTTATCAGTCTAATATTGCGATACGCCAGCAGGGCAGCCCGCTCACAGCGTTTTGTCCGTCTTCTTGGCTTCCTTTGCCTTCTGCTCCTCCTTGCCAGCCTTCATGAGCTGCACAATGTCCCAGGCTCCACCCACTCCACTCGACTTGGAGCACAGATCCAGGCTGATGAGGGCACCAGCCGTCGGAGCAGCTGCCCTCAGACACGTTCCCTTGGCCATGTTGTAGACGGGACTGTTGGAGGTGCGGGTGTGCCGCCACTGCTGGTCGCCCAGCATCTCGTGGCACTTGTTCACCGTGACCTGGGCATCCCCGGACGCCTCTAGGCACAGCAGCTTGTCCAGCACGATCTCCGCCTTCTCGGTTTCGTACCACAGCTGGTTGGGCGTCCTCTGGCAGGGCTGCAGTTGCAGCGAGCTGCCCTTCTTCCAGAAACCCTTCACCTTGGGCGCCACCACGGCGGCGCAGAGTTCCGTTCCCGCCAGTCGCAGTTGGTAGGTGTCCACGTAGTTCCGCTTTCGCGAGTGCCAGGGCTGAAACATGGACGCTGCCGCCGCCGACTTCTTGGACTCCTCGCCCGGCACATGCAGCTCCGGATAGACGTTCTTCATGTACCAGCCGAAGTCCCGGCACTGCAGCCGCTCCCGCAGCCTCAGCCGATCGCTGATGTCCCCGTAGTCATAGCCCTTGGGCACCTTCTCGTGCTTCAGGTAGTACTCCTTATACTGATCCATCCACACGTGTGCCAATCGCAGCGAGTTCTTCAGCATGGTGTTGGCCCCATCCGGCGAAGTGTACGGTCGCCGTTTCCGGAAGATGTGACCGACGCGGGAGCAGGGTACGATCTTGATGGCGCCGCCACACTGCCAGGCGCGGAAGGAGATCTCAATGTTCTCGCCACCCCAGATGTCCATGGCCATGTCGTACTCGCCCAGGTGCTGGAAGTACTGCCTGTTCACGGCGAACAGACCGCCAGCCATGGTGGGCGAGCGGAAGGGGCCGCGGAAATCCTCAGCGACCTTCAGTGTCCCATCGGGCAGATTCTCCCAGCGGAAGTGCAGGCCCCAGTTGAATCCTCCGCGCACCAGTGGACTTGGTGTGTACTCAAAGGTGTCGGCATTAATCAGATCGATGACGGGCACGGCCAAAGTGGCGTTCTCAGTCTTGATGAGGCGCAGCAGGGGCTCCAGCCACTGTTGATTGACCTCGATGTGCGAGTCCAGGAAGACCAGGACATCGCCAACTGCCTCGCGGGCTCCAATCACCCGGGATCGAATGAGACCCTCGCGCTGCTCGTTCTTGATGTACCGCAGATTGTCGTACTTGAGGCGGGCACGAAGATCGCCATGCAAATGGAACTCCAGTTCGGGCAGATCACTGTGATCGTCCACCAGGACAATCTCACGCAGAAGGTAACTGGGCGTGCGCTCCAGCACGGTTTTAATGGACCGCATAAGGGTCATCTTGTGCTCGTTGTAGAAGCACATGACTATGGAGGCCTGGGGCAGTTGCTCCGCTTCCGAGGTTTCCGTCCGATCGCACACCTTGTGCCGGGTGTCGGGAATCGGGCGGAAGAGTCCAATGTTGTTGGACACCAGGGCGTTGAAGGCGTGGTGCTTGTAGCCAATGTCCCGGATGTATTTGTCCTGCTTGTTGCGCACCACGCCCAGTAGGTCCAGTTGCTCGGGCTGATTGGCCTGTTCTCCCGGGGATTCCCTGGCCGCCGTGCTGTTCCCCGAGTTTGGTGTGCATCCAACGGTCACCCTGGCCTGGTAGCTCAGCTCCGCCCGCGGCGTGGCGTTCCTCTCCTCGATCCGCCATCCCGCCGAGCGGATGGAGCTCCTCAAACTGTGCGAATAAAAGAGGAGCGCCAGCAGCCAGACCACCGCCACCAGAAGGGTGCCCAGGCCACAGGATTTGCACAGGAGGCGCTTGATTTGCATCATGGATCGAGATTCGGTTACGTTGCCCCTTTCGCTGGCCACTCAAATGGCTATTTCGTTACTTGCATGATAACCGGAATAAATTAATATTAATTTGCATTTGAGCAAAGTGTTACCAGGTGGGGAAAATTGAATTGGACAAACCGCGAATTGGCACTAAAAAATCCATAATATAAGAAATCGCGCGTATTTTTAAATATGTATAGAGGGGTAACAAATTATAATGCAATATGAAGAAGAATATTTGTATTCAAATACGGAATATTTAACATCTCAAAATTTTAATATATTTGAATAAAAAATTCATTTCAATTGGTAGGGGCTTTATAAATACCGTTTTATTTATTTCCTATTGCATTATGCCATTAATACATCGTTAATATTCATATAACATTGATCGTTTTCTCCCGTCTTCGCACGCGACTACAACAAATACTCAACAAAAAATGATCGATAAAAGGAGATACAAAAATTCATATATATACAAAGATACAGCTTAAAGAAAACATGGTTTATCAAACGCATTTAGCTATTTTTTGTGGCCAAACGAGTGTCTGTGTTTAGAATAGAGCGATAAACTTTTCGAAATTTCATAGTCAAAACTTTGGTTCTTCTAACGATGCGTGAGATATATTCGCGCTAACCAACAAACGTATTCAATTATCTAATAATTATTTATGCTTACTCGATATTATAAATGTTGAAGAGTTTGTGTCTTATTATCGGGGAGGGCTTCTATATTTTGGTATTAGTGGTTGCTGTCGCTGTCGCTGGCTCACATACTTATGCTTAATCGAATCATTCAACTACATACATTGGTTTTTGCTTGGGCTCTGGTAGATTACGAGTCGGCTAAAAATAAAAGATCATTTATATATCTAGGGTTGTGTAAAGTTAAGGTGCATCCATTTAGCACGAGCACTGATCCTTAGCGCCCGTGGCCTCGCTGCTCAGCGAGGTTCGCGAAGGCTGCGACGGTCGGTGCTGAACTCCGGACTCGGAGGCGTTCAAGTCGAGCCGACCCTCCTGGATGTTCTGGTAAATCTTGCGAGCGGTTTCGAGAAAAGCCTCCTCAACATTTTGGCCACTGTTTGAGAAATATAGAATTAGTATATTTTAATCAAAAATTACATTATTAAAACATATACTCACGTCATAGCACTCGCTTCGAGAAACATGAGACCGTTCTCATCGGCAAATTCCTTAGCCTCCTCGTAGGTGACCTCTCGAGTGCTCTCCAGATCGGATTTGTTGCCAATGAGAAAGATCACAGTGCTGGGGTTGGTGAGATTGCGAGTGTCGGTGAGCCAGCTGCTCAGATGGTTGTACGTCGAGCTGAAATGGTGAAGTATGTCAGGTTTGGATGGCCAAAAAGGGATTGATTCAAAGCGCATACCGTCTGGTAATATCGTAGACCATCAGAGCACCGGCTGCTCCTCGGTAATAGGAGCGTGTGACAGCCCGGAATCGCTCCTGGCCCGCTGTGTCCCAGATCTGCAGCTTGATCTTTTTGTCGTCCACCTCGATGATGCGTGTGCCGAACTCCACGCCAATCGTGTGCGGACAATTGGCCATGACTGGAATTTAAAATCATGAGGTTAGTTTCCATTTAATATCTTCTTGATCGATACTCACATTTCTTTTCGGTGAACTGATGGAGCAGGCAAGATTTGCCCACGCCCATGTCACCAATGATGATGTACTTGAAGATGTAATTGTAATTGTATGGTGCTGCAGTCATGTTGGGACCTAAAAGGCAGTTAAGTACTATTAGTATTGTTTTGCATATTTTATTGGGCTTTTTCCCACATTTTTCGATGATATAGTCTATACGTTCGTGCAGTTTATTAACCACACTGCGCACTTTGCTCATCTTGACATTCACGGGACTGAACTACGACCCAAGAGCCAATGGTTTTCTATCACTATGTCAGGTGCGCATTTGAATGTCCAACCGTTGGCACTGCTTATCAACAAACTGTGGCGCTGCATTAATTTGTTCTGCGTCGGCTCCACATTTTGTTCCCCTTTTTCGAACTGGCCCCGATACTTATTTTTTAAGGCATGCTTGTGTTTGAACAGCCGACCGGGTTTGTTTATTTGCCAACTGTAGCCCAAAAAGAAAGGCAAGAGCCAACTGATGTATCAAGAGTGGCGGGTAAAAACCCTCCATGCCACTTGACTTTCGGATTTCGGAGTATCGGTATCGCTCGAAAGCCTTTGATTTGAAGCGAACCCTTCACTCAAGTCGCCAGGAATAGGGCTCAAGGCCGCCTTGTAATCGTGGGAATTCAATTATTTAAAGCGGATGGCATTTGCAGTAAGCTCGTTCATCGGGGAATAGCTAATTGATTATTCCATAAATATAAACATTAGCTGATTTATAAGCTTAGCGATTTGAGAACAGTTTCCATTCAATGAATTCATTGTTTTGCTTTCAATAGAACAATCGTGATTTAATGAATACCTTAATATCACTTACTGCTTTTATAGCATCGTAAACTAACCAAACACTAGATTGTTATGATTTTTAAATCATGTCAAAGAAATAATTCCCTTACAATATAGTGATATAGAATTGATAAATAGAAGCTCTAATCACCCTTCATTGCTTGTCAAGTTGCCAAGAAATATCAATTTTATAGACTCTCCGGCAGGCAATTAAGATTAACCAGTAGGTCTCGGTCTCGAGTCTTATCAGTCAAGTGCCAGAGGCCACACATCATCAGTGGAGCAATCAATGGAGGCGAAATTCTCGGGCTTGCACATACTTAATTGCAAATTGCGTTGAATGGAAGTGGATCATCGCAGCCCCTCGTTACCCCCCTCATAAAGGAAACACAAAGGCGCACCCATAACAAGCCGAACAAACTAGGAAGAAAAGTATTTAGCTTCACACAGCCGAGGTTTTTATACCCTTCTAGTTTTAACGCAAATTTCCAGTAGATTTGTTTAGAAACACAGACTTTTACAAAATTTTTAGGCCACTTAACAAACGCGGCTTTTTGGTTTTCTAACTGATTATGTGCATTTGTTAAAATTAAGTTTTTTTCTCTAAATGCTATTGATTTTTTAAGACTTCGCAATAAGCTCAAACACTACCACTGATTAGACTGCAGAAAAAACTGGAACAAGAACACAATGAATGAATGGCGATAAAGCGGAACTCGGAAGAAAACCAAAATGATTGATAAAGAATTCTAAGAAAACTGCTCATTTTATGACTTCTGATCATGAAAAGAGATGAGATGGAAGTCGGTCTCATAAAACCGGTCGATTTAACCCTGTCCTCCCTTAAATAGCCTTGATTTAAAAGCTCCTCTACACTAAAAACTATAAATAAATTATTATTTAAAAATTATTTAAAAAACTTTTTGATAAGATCTAAAAACCATCCCTCAACGGAAAACCTTTATTGCCACCGAACATGTTTGTACCTATGAATTCACTTTCCTTACAGGCTGACAAACATGTGATCAAAACTTAAGGACTCTAGAAAAGGGTATCAAAGCAATCAGGGGGTGTATACAACAACAATGGAGTGGGGCTGGCTAACAACAAAAACAAGAGAGAGAGAGTACTCGAGGGAAAGTTTTGTGAGCACCCACTGAAGCACTGCGTCACCCTTTTCTGCAAAAGGTTTTCCATTTCGTGTAATTTAATCAGTCTTTAATTGGCTTAAAGAAAAACAGCGAATATTACTCACCGTTTTAGTACGTTGTTTAGATCACTTTTAGGGAGCGGAAGGAATGCGGAATGTAGGGCGGTTACGACGTGCGGGGGGCGTGATGTGTGTATGTGTGCGTATTGTTGTTTGTTGGGCGGATTTCAATTGCAAATTACTGCCAATTTTGGCAAGGCAAAATGCAGCTCAGTCCCGTGCTATCACACACACTGACTTCGCGGGGGCGGGGCTCCACCGAAGGGCTATTATTGCAAATATTTTCAATTGGCAAATCGAATTGAAAATCAGTAGACACTTTTTGCGTTCTCTTGTTTTGCTTTGTATGCTGTGGTCACACTGAGAAGTCAGCCAGCGAACGGTCACACACTCGGTTAAGCAAGCGATATATCGAAAAATATTCGTTTTGGCGATAGTCCATCTCTAAAGGCGCACGTGTTGGCGTGTTTATGTTGCAGCACTTCACAAATTGCGGCCAAAATGTTTGTAAACGAAGTTAACGATGTGAAGATCTACAACCTGAGCGCCGGCAAATCGGTGCCAGATGTGAGTACCTGGAAAATCCCTTTTGAAAATATGTAAATCAAGGAACTGCTTTCCAAAGTGGCTCACAGATCGACGCAAACGATCGCAGCTGAAGAAAAAGGTGGACTCCCGGCGCCAGATCGAGCTCATCCAGGACTTTGAGATGCCCGGCGTGTGCACCAGCATCCGCATGAGTCCCGACCAACAGTACATCCTGGCTACGGGCACCTACAAGCCGCGCGTCAAGTGCTTCGAGGTGTCCAACCTGTCCATCAAATTCGAGCGCTGCTTCGACTCCGAGGTGTCCACATTCGAGGTGATCAGCGAGGACTACAGCAAGATGGTGTTTCTGCAGTGCGACCGCTACGTGGAGATCCATGCGGGCCACGGGCGGCACTACAGGCTGAGGATACCGCGCTTCGGGCGGGACATGAAGTACCACAAGCCAAGTTGTGATATGTTCATTGTGGGCGTAGGTAGAGTAAGTACTTAACCCGTTTTAAGTACTTCTCCTTTACTCAACACTTTGTTTGCAGGACATTTACCGGCTGAATTTGGAGCGCGGACAGTTCCTGCAACCCTTCGAAACGGACGGCAGCTGCCTGAACGCCTGCGAAGTGAATCCCGAGCACCATCTCCTGCTGGCGGGCACCAAGGAGGGCACCGTAGAGGCCTGGGACCCGCGCACCAAGCAGCGCTGCTCCACCCTGGATGTGGCCATGAAGTTGCCAGGCGTCAAGGAGTTTCCCTCGGTCACGGCACTCAAATTCCGGAATGGCTTGCACATGGGTGTGGGAACTGCCTCGGGACATGTCCTTATCTACGATATACGTGCCAAGCAGCCGCTGCTGGTGAAGAACCATCTGAATCGACTGCCCATCAAGCGTTTGGCCTTTAATCCTGCCCAGAATGCAGTCTACAGCTTGGACGAGGCCACGCTGAAGCTGTGGGACGAGCAGACGGGCAAGCAGATCGCCTACGTTGAGTCCACGACGTCATTTAATGATTTCTGCAGCATTCCCGACACGGGAATGTTCTTCCTGGCCCAGGAGGATGTGAAAATGCTGACCTACTACGTGCCAGCCATGGGACCAGCACCACGATGGTGCTCCTTCCTGGACAACCTAACCGAGGAGATCGAATCGGAGGTGGTGGAGAATGTCTACGATGACTACCAGTTCGTCACAGCCAAGGAGCTGGCGGAACTGGGCATGGAGCATCTCGTGGGCAGCAATCTGCTCAAGGGTTATATGCATGGGTAAGTCTAAATGGGATGTTTACCAGGTTGAAGTATTATCTAATCCCTTTACATTACTAAAGTTACTTTATGGACGCCCGACTGTACAACAAAGCCAAGGCTGTGGTCGAACCCTTCGCCTTTGATCGCTTCCGCAAGGACAAGATCCGCCAGGAAATTGAGAGTGAGCGCAAGTCGCGCCTGCAAATCGAATCGAAGCTGCCCAAGGTCAACAAAGAGTTGGCCCTCAAGATTATGGACGAACAGGCCAATCCCTCGAACAGTAGCAAGCAACGCAACGTGCCCAATCTGCTTGAGGACACGCGTTTCAAGGCCATGTTCGAGAACGCCGACTTTGCTGTTAACAAATCTGCCGAGGAGTATCGTCTGCTGGCTCCTGTGCTGAATCGTTTGGATAAGTCCAAGGCCAAGGAGCTCAAGAAGCGCGTGGAAGTGGCCCATGTGGCCGAGCTGCATGCCGACGAGGCCAAGCAGCGTGAGGAAAGTGACAACGATGAAGATCTGTTTGGCTTTGAGAAGAGCGATGGCGAGAACAAGGATGAAAGCGGCGACGAAGCCTCTTCCGACGACGACGACCGAAGGGAGTACGTCAAGGAAATGAAACAGGCGTACAAGCAGGTGAAACGACAACGTGAGGAAGAGGACGAATTAGAAGGCGAAAATGACGAGGAGCAGCTGGAGGATGAAACTGCCGAATCTGCGACAAGACCACAGACGAATGGACACACCCAAAAACCCACCGCAAACGGCAACCGCTTCACCCTGACCGCCCTGGATCAGCATCAGAGCAGCAGTCTGGTGCAGCAGCGCATCAAGAAGGCCAGCTTGCAGGATCGTGTACAAGTTATGTCGCAGCTGGAGGGCCAGGTGACCAATGTGGGTCGCTCCTTTGGCAATCGGCAGATGACGTTCGAGGTGAACAAGCAGAAGAAGTCACAGTTCCATGCCAAGAAGCGCGAGGCTGAGATGAAAAAGCATCGCGAGGAGCGAAGGAGTATTGTCAGACCCATCAAGTCGCTGAGACTGAAGAAGGTTAACTTTAAGTAAAACCATGTTGCAATTAGTTCTGTACATAAATTCATATGTTAAATTAACATAATTTACTCAAGAGAGTCGAAAATTGGAAGTTCATCCGCATGGGGCTCATCCAATTCGGGATTAGGCATATCGTCCTCGTCCATGGAATCAAATTCGGCTATCTGCAAAGGCTCTATCTCAACATCAGACTCGGTACCTGTCGATAGAGTAAGACTCGATACTTCACACTCTTCGCTATAGTCCGAATTGAAGCCGCTTTCACTTTCTTCGTTGAAATCCATATTTTGGCCACCTTCATCATGGATCGATTAAATACAGTTCAGTAAAGCCTCATATATGTATATATTTTAATATATTGGATAATTTACCATTGACGTTTTCCCCGGTACTTTGTACATTTTCTGCCAAGAGCAAAAGCGCTTCTGTTACGGGTCCTGTAACTGGCTCTCGCATATTTTCAAAGTACAATCGGAAAAACAGTTCCGAGTTGACCAGTTCCAGAGGTTCTTCCGGCTTTCCTGTCTGAGTGCAGACCAACAAGGCTGATTGCTCTGCACCCATATTCACAAATCAATGAGAAATGGAAATAAAAATTGGAATTGGAATGACAATTTGAGTTGGCCTGCTTAGATTGGGTAGAACCCATTTTGGGATACCTTCCGTTAGCCCAATTAAGTTTTGATGTTTATATATTCAACAGTCTTATGTATTAAACATTTTTAGTTTATGAATTTAAAGAACTACTCAAGTCAAAAATCGATTTTACAAAAAAGCTGAAGAATTCGCGTTCTTGGTAAACTTGACGCTTTAGTTCATGACATCCCAGTTTATAATCAAAACCCGTAACCGGCTTGGTAGTTGAGCTATAAGTATGACCCACAAGCTTTCCATTAAGCAGCTATGAGTTTTATTAGCGAATTATAATTGGAAAGTTTCTCTCTTAAATCAATAAATATTGCTAATTGCTCTGCCATTTGATTTCCAGATCGAAGTAAACACTTAGTCACTGTTTATGTCGCACTATAAACGAAGCGTTGAAAATTCAATTTTCAAGCTGAGCTTTACAAGCTTTTCAATTGGCCAATTCGCTGGGCTTGCGGTTAAAGCTGGGCTTCGACAACTCTTTTGCTTACCAAGTTGACTTTGCAAAGCTTTTTTCTGACTTTAATCCGTTTTTGGTATAAATAGGAAGCTGTGTTAGAATTTTCAGCTCATTTCAAGTTTTTCTTTTGTGCTGTTTGTGTCCGTTTTAAAGTGGTACGTAAAATTGGTTAGGCAATTATTTTACTTAAAGATCCTAAGCGATTACTCAGGTTGTGTTGTTCTTATTAAAAAATGTTGTAAATTAATAACTTTTATAAATGTTAAAAGGAAATATATATATTTTTCCTTCGGAACTGCATTTTTTAGGCACACTGTTAAGAACTATTTTAATATACATTTAAAGACTGTCATTAATAGTTTCAAATTTGAATGGGTTCTTCAAGCTTCAGCAATTCTGTCCCAGCAGTTTGCTAATAACAATATTTTGCAAACCATTATACAAGTTAGCTAATTGAGGCCTCTGCTCCTAGCAAAGCGTAATGACAGGCACAAAAAACGAATTAAACAACTATGTATTGAGATTTTATCTAAACAAATCTGGCAACCGGTTGGACAAAGGCCCATAAATACACAGATAAAAGTGACAAGTAAGAAAAAAAAAAAAGAAGCGAGACTTGGCGTAGACACCAGCATGTCCAATGCTGAACTTTAGCATATTGCAAGACAAATCGAGGCTTCACAAGGTCTCCTCGAAATTCGAACCCATGGCGACAAAAAGTGGAGGAGGTCGATGATCAATCAGATTCACATGGGTACTTCGCTAGACTCCAATCCACCTTGAACCTGAATATGGCTTGAGGAAGTACCTATTGCGCTTTATTGTTCACGTTTTTTAAATTGTCACATTTCCATTCGACCGCTATCGAGTGGTAATGGCAGTATAAAAAACAATTATAAAGTTACTTTTCTATGGAAATGTACTGCAAACTGGTTTGGGCTTTATAAAGTTTTCGTTTACGTCCGAAAAACCAGTTTGATGATTTTCAAAAATCTGATTTAATCAACATGCATCTTGGCCAATTTCAATATTGAATAAAATCAGCTTCTTTGTTTGTTTTGTTACTTCTTAATTCTGCGAATCTGTTGATTTACGAGGCGAGCGTGATTGAAATGTTAAGTTAATTTCGATTCATTTAAGCATTTCAAATGTTTTGGAGACTTCTCTTGAGGGTCCTTAATTTAGCAAGATTGATAATTAATAAATCTTATAGAATTGTAGGCTGTGAAAAGCCAAGGCTGTATACACATACCCGTATGCAGGCAACAAAAACTAAACAAACTACATAATAAACGTTGGCGGTGACAAAACTGCATAATTGAAGCTAGTTTTCCATATATTTGTAACTGCCTACGTGTATGTAAACTAATCAAAGAAAAAAAAATAAACTTTAGCAAAGTCAAGCTGGCCAAGGCCAATGCAAAAAGTCGCACTTGAGTGGAAATGTTAATTAATTAATTTATGAAAAACTAGTAAGTGCAATTAAATAGCATGCACATAAAAACTAAACAATAATAGCGGAAAAGCTTGAAACAATATCTAACAAACAAATAAATTCTAATAATTAATTGGATTTATAAATTCGTAGTGGGAACTATAGTTCTAATCTATTCAAATCGATAATATTAGCTTAACTTTTATTTTAAACAAATTTCAGAATTCGAAGATTTAAACTAATGTTCATTTTTAATGATTTTCGATTTTTTTATTTTCCACATTATTGCTTTGGAAAAATTTCAAATCGTTTTTATAAGTTTATAGTTTGTCAAAATAAATATAGTAATTTTTTCGAAAGTTTTTACTTGAACAAATTTAAAAATTCAAAGATTTAATTTGGTGTACATTATTTAAAGATTTTAAATTATTATTTTTATATCCCAAATGAAACTACTTTTAATCTATTTATAAAACATTGCTTTTTGTTTTAAAAATAGGAAGTATAAATAGTTTGTAAACATTTTTTAAACGCAAATAAAATAATAATTTTAAGCCATTTTTTTTTATTGATTTGTCATTTAAGCATACTCTTTAATAATGTGGCGTATTTAATTTTTGTGCAGCAACTATGTTCCGTCTGCTGGTGATTCTGGCCTGCTTGGCCATCAGTGTGCATGGATATGCCAATGGAGCTCCGAAGACCGCCTGCGGGGATCTGACGCCCCAGCATGGTGCCAAGTTGCAGACGGATAAGCCGCCGTACTTTATCTCCGGGCTGACCCATGTGCGCGGGAACGAGAAGCTGACCCTGAAACTGGAGGGCGGCGATTTCCTGGGCTTCATTATTCAGGCCCGCGATGGCCAGAACCGCGTCGTTGGCCAGTTCCATGTGGTGGATGCCCAGCACTCGCAGACCTTGGACTGCTCCGCCAAGGGCGACACCCTCACCCACCTGAAGGCCACTAAGGGAAGTCCGCTGACATCTCTGGAGTTCGACTGGGCGCCGCCAGCAGGATACAAGGGCAACGTCAAGTTCATGGCCACCGTGGTGCAGACCGGATTCGTTTACTGGGTGGGCCGAGTCACCAAGGACGTCACTGTGGAGTAGGGCCACACATTGCCCCGTTCCCAGCTTGTGATAGACATTTTTAATGCTCCGATTAGCTTTGGAGAGTAGTATTTTTGAAAATAAAGTCGAAAGTTCGTTGAAGAAGCTGGTGTTTGACTATTAAAGTGGGGGTTTAACAGGTGCACAAACAAAGAACTTAAACTAAATTAATTCCATTTATCAATATGACTAATTCCCTTCAAAACTACTACTACCAATAAAGCTTATAGCACCCTTAAGTGTTCGGTATTCGTATTTTGAAATTCTATATGTTCCACACCACTTAAATAAAATGTTTTTATAACTTATAACGGTAAATAACCAAGTTTCGTACAGCTCAGCCTTCAACTGGCAGCGAACGCAACAAGTCGGCATAGAACAATCGAATAATAATATCGATGTTGGTATCGATGTCTCTCCATCTCTATTATATTATTCAAATCAGCTGTTCTTGCCGCTTGTTTTATAAGTTAAATTTTGCTAAATTTTATTATATTTCCCGAATAATACAAGTGGAGAAACTGCTGGGCATGTTGAGAAATTTGGCGCGCACCTTCGAGACTGCTCTGAAGCTGCACGCCAGCACAAACTCAGCTCCGCTGCACTGCAGCAGACGCCTGCTCTTCTCGCAGTACGAAAACCGAGGAAGCGCACGGAAATCCCTCCTGACAAGTGCCCCATTTGGTGGCAACGAGGCAGAGAACGACTATGTGCCCTATCGCCAGGACCAGGAGAGGGGCACCAAGGCGCGGGTGCTTCTCCAAGCTTTGCGGGAACGCTTTCGCTTCACGGACGACGAGCTGCAGCGGATCATGAGCGACGAACTGGTGCAGCGCTGCTACCGCGGGAAATCTTTGGCCATGACCATGGACGCACTGCAGCTGGAGGGCGTCAGCAGGCGCAGCTTTGTGGAGTACCCCTGGCTGCTATCCCTGGACAACAGTGAGTTCTCTAATGCCTTGGCTACCGAAGATTTTCTCCCGTTTTTATTTACCTTTGCAGAGGGCTCTTTGTTTTGGTGAGGAGCTTAATAAAAGAGACATCTTTCACCTTTTAAGCGGCATATATTTATATATATATATTCAATCATTATAACCAGGCTATTTGATATGAGGAAGTCTTCCTATGGACCCATTTCTATGCGAACTATAAACTAAAGCTTTCGCAATATCAGTCAGAGTTGCAGTTTAGAAAAGCAATTGAAATACTATGTACAATAGAAACAAGTTAGTTAAAAGTAGATATCCATTGTTGGCCTCAAAAGATAATTTCTATAGGTCGCTTAAGGACATTAGTGCATCTATAATTTACAAGCTTTTTTGGTTTCCTTCAAGAGCATATATTTCCTAACTTGATTAACATTTTTATTACCTCAGAACGCCTGGAACTAAAGCTTCAGCTTATCAAGTCAATGGACATTCGGGACATAAACCACTTTGTGCCTTTCCTGCGCCTCACTGTGCCACGTCTGCGTAAGTTGGTGGGTGCCCTCAACTCCGAGCGGACCACAATGCCGCAGAATCGTGTCTATTACATCAGCGAGAAGCTAGAGGTCAGTCCAGAGATTGTGACCAAGTACCTGTCGAAGCGACTCTTTATCCTGGAGATGCCCTACGAGATGTTCGAGAAGAACCTGCAGCACATGATCAACTACAATGTGTCGCCAATAAACATTCTCAAGGATCTCTGGGCCTTTCGCTATACGCCAAAGTCGGTTCAAGTGCGTTTGGAGCGCGCCAAGCGAGCGAAGAAGGACAAGATCATGCCGTGGATGGTACGCTGTCCGGAGCCCATCCTGCAGCGCTCCCTGAAGCTCTCCCTCGACGAGTTAAACGTTCTGGGGGAGTTCTCCTCCGTGGTGGAGTACTTGGCGCATCGATTGGGCTTCAGCGTGAGTGAAGCAAAAGCCGTCATGGACAGACATCCGCAGGTGCACACCGTGCGGGTGACCAAGGTAAGCAGTAATTTCTCCACAAAAAAACCAGCAATTACCATTTCGTTTTTTAGATCAAGGAGGTGCTAGACTACTTGCTCGATGAAGCCAAGTTTACGAGATTTGAGGTCGCCCAAGTGCCTCGAATTCTGTGCCACAGCCTGAAAACCACAAAGGAGCGTATGGATGAGCTAAAGACCCACGGCTGTCGACCTTCCTCCCTCGTCATCGTTTGTCGCAGTCGCAGGGAGTACGAGAAGTTTTTGCAGCACTGGATAAAGCAAGCGAGAGATTCGCCAACTACAGAGAACATTGCAGGTTGAATTTAAATACAACTTTCTCTGAATTTAAGTTAACTATTTTCTTTGTCATACAAATGATGATCTGAATTCAAGACTTGTTATCAAAGTAAACATTTTGTTCATAACTTGAATAATTTCTGACTCTTTGGTCACATTTATTGCAGACAGCAACGGTTTACACATTGAAATACTTTCTTAAGACATTTATAGTTAACTAAAACAGTTGTAATTGATTTAAATATTTTGCTTAGCTAACATTTAAATACGAATTGTGCTCCATTTGAATACCATTGCGTAGTTGTACTTCAACAGAGAGTAGCAGTTTGATTTGTGACTGGCTTTATAGCTAGAGAAGACATGGAGTAAGCGCCAACAGATTCCAGCTTAGGAGTACACATAAAGCTATAAATTTGAATACCATCTCCAGACATCATCTTTATCCACTCGCATCATCGATAAGCTCGTTTTACTCTTTCAACCTCGACAGAAGAACAATCAAACTAAAAGCTAGGAAAATCTTTGTGCTGGCTTAGAAATATCTTTGGTTGTGTAGACTTCGGATTAGATTGTACTCTCGATTTAGTCGCGTTGTGCCCGCCGTCGCTCCAGAGCCACCTGCATGGACCAGATGCTCAGTGGCCGCATGTAGCCGATGGATCGATAGCGCTTCTCCCCGTACAACGCCTCCGGGGTCTCGAAGTTCATGCCGATGCGCTGCGACAGCGTCTTGTACATGCCACCGGCCGTCTGGAAGGCCTCCTCGAACATGCCCTCCTGAATCATGGTGGCCGCCAGGGCATAGACCACGCCCGGCCACACCTCCTCCGCCTGGATGTTGCTGTTGTCCACGTGACCCGGCTTGCTGGGCTCGCCCGCATTGGCTACGAATCCATTGGCCGCCCCGATGTTGCCCTCATGGAAGCCCATCACGTTGTTGTCGTAGATCCGCTTGAGGGCCGTGCGCACATTCTCCTTCGGATAGATCTCGTAGTCGAAGCCGCAGGACTTCAGATACCAATGGCCGCATAGCTGATCGGCCATAATCGTATCCCGGTGGCCGTGCGAGAGATCAAAGCGGTAGTAGCTGCCGTTCCACAGCTTCTCCTCCATCGACCGCTTGCCCTTCTCCAGGATGTCCTGGTAGCGCAGGCAGTCGTTCGGCTGGTCCAGGATCGTGGCCATGGCCGACATGGCCTGCAGGGCGGCCAGCCACAGGCCGGAGCAGTAGGCACTCGGCCCGTCCATCACCCAGGAGTCGTAGGTCTGGTCCGGCATCTTCGTGTTCTCGATCAGGCCGTCGTTGTCCCTGTCGTACTCGATGGTCCGCTCCATGATGGCTTTGCAGGGACCGTACATGGCCTTCAAGTAGCCAATGGCGTCCATTAGGTACACCTTTCCGTTCGTCTCGTTGATGTACATCGACGCAGACTTGCGGTTCTCTGAAAAGGCAAGTTAAAGATACTGATTTAGTTCGTTATGGTTATGGCTGTGGTTACAAAAACATCTATAGTAATTAAAGTACTTAAAATTTTAATTGTTTTCAGGAACAGTTAATTTTTAAAACGTGTTTAAAAAAAGGTAGACGTCTTCAAGTTTGCATACTTATTAAAAAAGTTTTTTGATTGAAGGACAAATTTCTTAACTTAAAATTAAGCCTACCAAATAAATTAAGGACAATTACCTAAATAATTATGATAAGTAATTTGTATGGTAATTTTTTCTTATTATAAATAAAAGGCTTTTTTGAGCCCATGTTAAGGAATTTTTCTTAAAATCAAGAAGCTGTTTTTCTGAGTGTTTTATAATATCCCATGATCCCCTGTGTTTTAAAACAAAACAAGGTGTGAATATGTTTTTTTTTTTAATTTTGATAATGCACTCAAACTAAAATTAGTCCTAAACGTTATATAATATAAATTTAAAAACATCTTTCCTAAAAATTCTCTAATGAGTAACTAACCCAAAAATCTATAAACATTTTCTACGTTCTCAAAAAAGCATTCTTATTTAAAATCCTAGAAAAAAAATCCTAAAATTGAATTGAAGACAAAAATAGGCCAAATTCCTTGTTCTTGGTTAATTTGATGATGAGTCTAGAGGCACAAAATAAAAGATTTAATATAAAATATAAATACCCTGGTAATAATCGGCTAACCAAATTATGTGATATAAATCACAAACATAGTTAACAACTCACGTTGCTTCTCATCAGCGGAATTCTTGCGCTTGTTGTCCTGGCCGTAGAGCTCATACAAGCTCTCCTTGTCGATGAACTCGATGGAGCTGAACTTGCTGGCATTGTCCGCTTGGGCCTGGGCCAGTTCGTTGAGGACATAGTAGTCCCGGTAGACTTGCAGCACAAACTTCGTGTTGAGATCCTTCCAGTCGTTCACATCGTGGATGTTGTAGCAGTTGATAAGAGTGAAGGGCTCTACAAGGGATATGTCTATGTAGTCATAATTAATAGAGAGCCTTGTAAGTGACGAACCTTCATCGGGATCCCCCAGATCGTGGGGCACACAGTTCTTGACCTTGCGCGGCATCACCTTGCCATCGTAGAGCATTTTGCGGGTGTCGTTCAGTTCCGCGGCGATGGCGTCCTTGAAGTCGTACTGCAGACTGACCTGCAGATTGGGCCACAGGTGGGCCAGTGCCGGCGAGGCATAGAAGTGGACATCGTAGGTGTTGTACATGCGGTACTCGTGCCCCTCCAGATAGCCAAAGCGACCATAGGCAAGTCGCGGATCGTCGTAGGCCAACTCCTTGCCTAGCGAGGAGTCGCATTTCAACCAGATGGTGCCTCCATCCGATATGAAATACAACTGATTGAATATGGCGCACTTGTACCAGTCGGGAAGGGTCCTTTT